ATTTAATATACATTATAAAAATAAGAAGAAACTTTTGCTCGCTTAGATTTCCATGAAATATGAATAATTTATGTAAAATAAAAAAAAAAAAAATATGATGAATTAAAATGATATTAAGCACAATAAAAAATAAAAAAAAAAAAATGTGATGGGATGAAAATAAAATAAAACATAGTATAATTAAAGAAAAAAAAAAAAAAAAAAAAGAGAAGAAAAGAAAAGAAAAACGAAATAAAAGAAATATTAAAACAAATATAAAAAATTATGATATTTTTAAAAAATAAAGAAGTATATGTTATGATATAGCAATTTTTGTGTAATATGTTTAACAATTTAAGCAAAATAATTTACTCTAATTTGTTTTTAATAAATAAAAAATATATAAATACAAATGTACAACTAAGAAATCCGTATTACAGAAAAAAGGGATTTTGGGAGTGGAGAAGGAGAATTATTCATAGATATAATGAAAAAAGATATATAAAGAAAAATATAAAACCAAAAGTGAAAAATAAAAATGAAGTAAGCATAAAAAATAAAAAAGAAGACGTATATTGGACATTTAAAGTATATCAATTAAAAATTAGTTTAAGAAATTTATATAATTTTGGTAGATTAATTAAAGGACTTCATTTAGAAGATGCAATAGTATTTTTAGAATCTATTCCTCAAATAAGAGTAAATAGTATTCTAAATTCTTTATTAAATTCTAAAGAAAAAATTATAAATAATTTCAATGGAGATGCTTCAAGGTTATATATTGATAATGTTCAAATACATTACAACACCCCAATGAAATACATTAAATATCATGCAATGGGTCATTTTGGTCTTGTAAAAAGTTATAGAAATACTTTTACTTATACTATTAAGCAAATGAATATACAGGAATTTTATCATAAAATATTTATTAGAGGAAATGTGCCTAGAACATTATCTCATAATATGAGATTATATTTGAATCAAAATAGAATTAACATGAACACACTAATTGAATGGTATCCTTACATATGTGCAAATTCTAGATATTATTTCAGAGAAAAATTAAGATATCTAAATAATATGTATCAATTTAACTATTATAAATCAAGACATAAATGGATACAAAATTATTTTAATAATATTGAAAGAAGAACAAATGAATTAAGATTACAAAGGAATATCATAACTGAAAAGATGAAAGAATAATATAAAAGCAATTATATATAATTTTTTAATTTTTATAACTTTTTATGTTTTCTAATGACATTTTACTACATTTTTTTTTTTTATCTTTTTATGGAATTTTAATTTTTTTTTTTTTTTTTTAGTTTATACATATGAATGAATCTATTTTGTTTAAAATGTAATTTATTTTTATTAAATCCATATTTTTTTATTTATATATTTTAAGAAATTGAATGTACAAAAAAAAAAAAAAAAAAATTTATTTGTAGTTTTTGCAAATTTATATATATGTCTACTTAATTTTTAAACATATTTAAAAAAAAAAAAAAATTGTATAATAAAACTACCTAAAGTTCATCACTACCATAATTTTCATTTGTATCCTCATTAAATTGTGTAATAATTACTCCCTAAAAATATTTAAATTTAAAAAAATAGAAATTATTTAGCGTAATTTATATATATATACATCATATTCATATTTAATTTATTATTATTACTGATTTAGCTCTCCATTTTTGTTCATCTTTTTGATAATTATATTTCATAATACAAGCTTCCAAATGATGCAGAATTGGACAATTATGACAATTATACTGATTAAACCTAAATAAAAAAATGTATATGAATATATATATATATATATGTAAAAATATAATTATATATATACCTATATCTTTTTTTAATTTTTACTCGTAACTTTTGCTAGTAGATAAATAACCATTATGATTTACACTTTTTAGAAAAACGTTTTTTCCTACTTCCCAATAAGAGCTATGTTTTTTATTCTCACAAACTACCTGAAACTTTCCAGATTCGTTATTTTTATGAACGCTTAACTAATAAAAAAAAATATATAAATATAATTATTATCCATATTATAAGATGTATTTTAAAAAGAATTTTTTGTATATATATATATATATATATATATATATATATATATATATATATATATATATATATAAATTATTTATTTTTATTACTTCATAATTATTAGATAATATAGATTCATGTTTTGAACTTATTAAATATCCATTAGATTTTACATGTTTCAATGTAACAATTTCATCACAGTTTATTTTATTTCCAGTAAAACTTTTCCCTTCTATTAATAATAGAAAAATTTTCATATATTGTCATCTACTCATTTTTTTTTTTTTTTCTATTTTATTTTTTCTTAATATATTTTTGTACCTTCATAAACACTAACTGTCCACAATAAATCATCCTCATTATTATTTGTAGTTACAGCTGTCTTTAGTAAAAATGATACATATTTTTACATATAAATTTAAATATTAATGTTTTTTTAAAAATAAGATAAATTTTATTTACTTATTAAGATATAAAAAAAAAATAAAATAAAACAATTTTTTTGAATTTTGGAAGTTTAATCAAAACTCATATTATATTTCTTTTAAATAATTTACTAATTTTTTATGAATTTTTTTTTTTATTTCTTTTAATATGTTACCACTAATTGATTTCCAGAACCTGTTCCCCATTTCATATCTGTTGAAAAAAGTCTGTCAAAAAAAAAAAAAAAATAAAATAATAATAAATGCATATTTTATTATATTCTATATCAGTACTATATAAGCTTTTTTTTTTTTTTTTTTTTTTTTTTACTTGTATTTTGTTCCTATATTTTCTAAAATAATAGAACTACCATCCGTTACATAGAGACAATTATGTA